CAACTTTCAATCTATTCAAGACCTTTGAAATAACTTACTTGCGTTTACGCAAGTACTCTTGCGCAAGTACTCTTACGCAAGTGCGTTTGAGCGTTACTCGCTCACACCTCGATTACCAATCGAGTAACTAAGCCGAGAGGTGGGACCGGGTGCCCGTCTAGTTACAATGTGGCGCCATCTCTGTTGTTTCCGTTCCGTGTGCAAACCTATTCAGCAGATTTTTGCACAGGGGAGACATTACACATGACCTATGACCTGACTTACAAGTGAACAGTAAACATGCGTCATTTCCGGACATGCGCTTTCTCGCTCCTTCTCGCCCGCCTCGTGCTGCGAAAAGATTACAAATTTTATTACGCTAAGACTTTATTGTATTAGAACGTGATAAAACTTCATTGAAACACCAAACTCGACCAACAAACCAACGATCGACCAACGAAGTTGATCAAGAGTTTTTTTTAAAACTTTTGATTGTCAGACAGTAGCACCAGTTTAAGTAGTTTTGAACTGGAATTACTGTACCGTAGCGTATCGCCATTATCACTCACTGCTTCTGCTCGTCCACGTAAAAGTATTAACAAGTAAGTAAAACTGCAGAGAGGTACGCTATTAACACCTTGTCACATATATACTTACCTTGTCAATCAAGCGATTTACGGATTAAATTGCTTCGGATGCTTACGGATTAATAAGATAAGATCAGATTAATCTTTAGCTTTTTTTTGTGTAGCCAGCTTATTAATACTATTAGTATTACTAATAGAATAGTATTACTAATAGTATTATTGTCTTGAGTGTTCTAACTTTGATTTTGTATTTGATATTTCATAGCAATCAAGATAAGCGGCTGCATGATGCAACAATTTAGAAATAAGTAGAATGAATGTTACTGTTTGAATGAATAAACGTTACTTTCTTAGATCTTCGTAGTTTCTTTGCAGCGTTTAAAGACTACGATAAGGATTTCCCCCCATTGGTCAGGCCGCAGTGTAAGTCGAAATGAATGTGTAAGCTTTTATAACACTTAACAGGTTTCCGCAAACTTCGCAGGTTAATCGGCTATGAGGAAAAATGCTTCGCTTTCCAGCCGCATTATAAAAATTCATATTTTACAGAAAAGTTGATTTTTTAAATTTTCCTAAACCAGAGACTGAGAGAATAACCAGAGATTAAACCTAAATATCACTTATAAATAAATATAAATCTATATAAACCTCTGGCTTGTTCACATGTGGACATGTGCGTTCACATTCGGACATACGTACCATGCACGTGCATGTCCACATATGCGTGCATTAGTATTGTACAAAAACTGCACTATTTATGATATATTTCCAGCATCATTACCACCTGATGGCAAGAAGAAAGATGTTGGACGGAGATCTGGAAAAGGGTAACGTTGTCTTGATCTATCTTTTTTCTAGTTTAAATGCAAGAATTATATAAGTTTTCTTCGATATCTGTTGATATAATCAAATAAATAGCTCGATATGTCTAGGTACTAGAACCACGTGAGTCACCCCAGTTTGGGCATGTACACATTAGGTAAACGTGGTGCGTACATGCAAAGATGTTTCGATGCGTGACTGGCATGACGGTGACGTCTTGTTAAAATAACTAGTTCAAGCACAGTAAAAATGATGCTAGCCGGGATTCACACTCGGGTGTAAATAGTTACCCCCCCCCCCAGTTATGTTTGTCGCAGAGCGTGTACATTGTCTAGCAGAGCGTGAGGCCGGATACCAGTCTACCCTTTGGCAAAAACAATAACGTGGCTTGCTGCCAGCCGCAGTAGACGATCGATAAACCGTGCGCTCGTGTATGCCCGTGGTAAAATACGAATGCTGCATGTGAACTCGGCCCACGCGCGATTTAAAGCGCGGGAAACAGCATCTATGAATTGATACGATGACACGCTCTTATCTAAATAAAGTTTTTCATAGCAATGGTCTGGGTCTGGGCTAGTGGAAGTTAGGTCAGGGCTAGTGGTTTTCCTCAGTTACTAACCCGATGGTCTAGTGAAATAAAAAGTTAATGTTGAACCCTGATAATTTCTTTTTTGTTTGTTTTTTTCTTCAGAAGAAGAAGTATTCCGGTCGGATGGAGTCTTTCGGAGGTATATTCGGATGTAACATAATAATTTCAACTTTCATGCGTGCGTGTGTACCTACACGTGTGTGCATGCGTGCGTGTGCACGTACAGTGTGCACGACACGTGCGTGCGTGCGCATGTACAGGTGCGTGTGTGCATGTGCCCGTACACGTGCGTGCGTGCGTGCGTGCGTGCGCATGCACATGTGCGTGCATGCGTGCGTCCGTGTGTGTGTGCACGTACATGTGCGTGCGTGCGTGCGTGTGTACGTACATCGTACTAGTGTCGCCGCCTATCGTGGAGTTATGAACTATTCGCTAACTCGAGTTAAAGCGTCTATACGGGGCCTTAACTAGGGTGTTTCTCATTTATTCATTTAAAAGCATAATGATTGTAATATCTTATAAACGACATATAGTTTCAGTTATAATATGGATAAATTTTTCCTAAAATGAATATCGTTCGGTTAAATAGCATTTAGGTATAAATATAATTGCACTTTTGTGATTAGCTCTCGGTCTGTAACGTGTAAAATAAATAGTCAAATACGCAACTTTTTTGTGGTGGCAGCACGGTCGCGGGTGTCATGGCGCCGCTCAAATTTCGTAGCGTTGATGTGTAATTAATTATAACAATTAAATTAGGTATCTGGCAACAAGCGATAATTACCAGCGGTAATCTGGTAACAACGATTTGAATTAAATTTCACCGTCACGTTTACCTTTTAAAAACATAAATAGTAGATATCACTGTTATTATCCTATATCATTGCATGTACGTGTAAACGATTTTAATTTTCCAGATATCAGGTGTAGAGAAGAGGCCAAGAGGAATTTATAGAGGAGGTATGTAATGGTTTGCTTCAAGCATTTAGTGTTTTTGTTGTCGATGTACGCTTAACACGTTCAACGCGAAACACGAGTATACTGCGTTCGAACCTGCAAAAACGCACGGCCGCGAACACGAGTATACTGTGCAAAAAATACAAAAAAACAAAAAAATTGGAACGTTTACTATGTTCTCCTATAGATGGCAGGGGCTATACGCTTAGCATTCAACAACGTCATGTATAAACCCCAGTAGTAGATGACATAATTTAACATACTTACTGTTGTTTGGAACGTTATTTTGGAGTTTTTGGGACTGAGGTAATGTTTTTAGTTCACTTCGCCAAAGGGCGTTTGACGCGCGTGTTTTGTGAAGTGGTTTTTATGTCTGAAAGTTGTGTTTGATTTGATACATCACTGTGATAGATTCGGTGTTGTTTCGATGTCTGAGAGTAAGTTTATATCTATATTGTACTAGCCACTAATTATAAATAATTATAGGCTAGTTAAACGCTCCAAAAACATTTTGTGTAATAGGGTGACTAGCGGTAAAAACGCGAAAACTCAGCACAGCCGGACAGACTAGGCGATTTTATCGGGCGACTCGAATCGCCTAATGTGTCCAGTCAGTCGCCGCTGATTTAGTCGCCCGATTCAATCGCATTGATCACAACGTTTTGATATCGGGCGATTATTTCAGTTGCGCGACTCAATCGCCTAGTGTGTCCGGGTCGGCGAATGAGTCGTCCGATTGTACAATTCATCAGCCAATCAAACGGTGCCATTTTCAATCATGTGACTATCAATCTAGGTGTCGCGAGTGTTTTAGTGTTGCAGCGGGAGAAAAATCGCCGATCAATCTTGCTGATATTCACCTAGTGTGTCCACTCTCACTCACTCAACTCATTCGCCGGCGACTATCGGGCGATAAAGTTGCCCGATTAGATCGCATTAAAATCGCCTAGTGTGTCCGGCCATTTAATAGCAAAACAACAGGTGGGCAATTCCACGCTGGAGGGACTATATAAGTAAAATCTAAATGAAATATTTCAGGACAAAAGATGTTTGCAACTGCAAGAAAAGTCTTTTTAAAACAACTTTTTACTGACATGGCAGTGTTGATTTTTAGCTCATCTGACGTAGTCAGATGCAGCTTGTAGAATGGCATGATCGTCCGTGCGTCCGTCCGTCCATGTGTCAACAGTTGGGCACAAATCTTAACCTCTCGGGGGTGCGGGTCACGGTATTCTGGACGTCGGGGGGGGGGATCGTGAAAAGGACTCAGGAGGACAAATTTGGGGGGTCAAAGGTGAAGATATGTAAACGGAGGGAATATTTCCCCCTTAACTTAATGTATAGGAGGAAATACGGAATTGCGGCACAAATCGCAACGGCTTGACCTATAGTGTGATGTATAGTGTGATGGGGAGGATAACCTATCACCAGCGCAAAATTGGAGGTCAAAGGGCAGTGGGGGAAAGGTCAGATATCCGACATTTTCTGAGGATATGGTCTGACGGACCGTGTGCAAAACTTTTTTGTTTCAGCGCTGACCTACCATTTTTATCACTTTATTGAAAGAACCATGAAATGTGCTTTCCGCTGACGTGCGAAGAGTAAGTGTCTGATATCCTTTTGACCCTCAAGAGGAGGGTTAAACACGGATTCGTTGACTGTTACTTTTGCTATTACAGCCCCCTCCACTTGCCCCCTCCCCCTCCCCCACCACCTTCCCACCACCACCATCACTACGCTCGCACTTGGCGCATATCCATGGTAACATGTTTTAATATAGTGAAGTCATTAAAGTTACACAGCTGTATCTTTATTACTGTACTACCGGTATAGCAAAGCCTATCATAATGTATCAGCAGAACACCAGACACCAGATGAGCCCTGTCGCACTGCGGCACTTGTTACTACAAATTTTGTGCCTAGAGTGATCATCCCATATTCTAGCTACAATTCATCAATGGAAAAGTGAAATATGTCTGAGTAATCTTTAGTTTAACCAGAAACAATGCCTATTATTTGGAGAGGCTGCTTTCAAACACTGTAAGAAAAATAACCAGAGTAGTGAGCATGCTAATTTAGTGTCACGTCAGTCAGGAAAAGTTAATTTTTTTGATATATATAATTCGCCAGTCGATCGAGGTTAGGCTATTTAATTTCGGTGGGACTGGCTTGATACACTTGAGGGTTCTGATGGGGTTTAGCGTGCTGCGTGAAATTGGCGTATATAATAATGTTAGCGTGAAAATCAATGTTATTATAGCGTCAGGTGTGATATTTTGCCTGGGGTGATACTAGAAATTAGCGTTAGCATGAAAGCATCTGTTTATTTACCCTGATCCTTTTTATTTTGTATAGCGTGGAGAAAGAAGGGACTATTAATAAATGGAGGAAGCGGACGACCTAAGGATCATGCAAGCAATGAAACGCCCAGCAGTCACGTAAGTTTACACCGATTTAAAATGCACATTTTGACTTATTAACCCTGTATATTCTGAGGACAATCACCAACAAGCTTGGTGGAATGGAGGGACTGTACTGAATGTCACTATTTCCGGGCTGTATGTTTGGAATAATGAACTATCTTAGATGTGATTCTTTTTTGATAGGTCGTGTGTTAATAACACTGTGTGGGAATGAAATTGCAGTAATACACCAGTCACGTGTATTTGTTATGTGTCATGGTTGGCAGAAGCAAAGCGTGCATGTGCACGTACACGTGCGTGCGTATGCATGTACACGTTCGTGCGTGCCTCAGTCTGTAGCCCTTGGCTGGAAAGTGGTTTTGCGCAACATATCAGTTCGTGCGCTTTGAGTGGCGCCACCGTCGTTGTAATCAAAATGTAGTCGTTAGATTTAAAACATAAAAAAAAAATATTTCTAATGATAATTGAACCATGAAACTATTTATGTAGCGTAATGATAACCTAAATTATCTGAAAATAACCCTAGAACCTAGAGTAAACTCTCCCTTTAAATTTACCCTTTTTAGAACGCATTGATATGTTCTGAATGTCGGCAACATTACTCAAGGAAAGACAGCTTAAAGAGGCACATGAAGGATCAGCATAGTTTGGATATGGAGGAGAAGGCTAAAAATTATACAAAGTGTTTAATTTCCACGTGTGAGGAGACGTTCTTTCATAAGGTGCAGATGTTTAAGCATATGGAAGGAGCCCATGATACCAAATTAGAAGCTAGTCAGCACAAATTTCCATCATATGAAGAGTTTCTGCAATGGAAGGAGAACGAGGAGATGAATAATTATGTTTATTTTAGTAAGCAGACTGGAGTAAAAAGAGGACAGAACGATGTTGAATATATGTATTTCGTTTGTCAGAAAGATGGGCCCAGTGAGATTCACCATAAAAGGAAGTCGGATAGGTCGAATCTGAAATCCCAAGCTAAGACAGGTATACTTTGTCCTGCAAGAATGATTGTTCATAGAACAGTGGAAGAAGGTGTGCAAGTAAGATACATAAAATCGCACAACCATCCCATTTCGTTTGTCGATACAATGCACCATCCTATTCCCCGAAGCATCAAGAAGTCCATTGAAGGAAAGATAGCTCTAAATGTACCGACAGACGTCATCCTGAATGATTTGAGAGATGGATTAGGAGAAAGAGATAATCGAGGGGAAATTGAAAATCTTAAAGGTCACCAATTGCTCACAAAGAGACGAATACGTGAAATGAGGAGAAAGTCGAAGGTCAGCACTAGACTCCACTCGGATGATGCTCACTCCATTTTCATGATGGTTTCCCAGCTGAGAGAGGAAAAATTTAATCCGATTCTAGTCTACAAACCAAAGAATGGCAAGGTAGAAGTTGGTGATCCCGCTATTGAGAGTTTGCCCAAATCCAATGAGTTATTTCTTCTTGGTTTCCAAACTAAAGAACAGCTGGCTATGATGAGATTGCACAATGATATTCTTATAATTGATGCAACACATGGAACCAATCAGTATGGTTTTCAATTAGTTAACATTCTTGTTCCTGATGAGTGGGGAAAGGGGTATCCCGTTGGACACTTTATCACAAGCAATGTAAACGATCGGGTGCTCTACTATTTCTTCAAGGCCATCAAGGATAGATGTCCTGACATGGAAGTAAATGTAATCATGTCAGATGCAGATTACAGTTTAGCACGATCTATTAAGGCTGTCTTTGGAGAAGACATCATCCATCTACTGTGTAAATGGCATGTTCAGCGAGCCTGGCAGAGATCACTTCGGCAGTATTTGAAAGATCAGGAACTGTTAAGCAATGTGTGGAATGATTTATTGGTGATTTTGGATGTCAAGAGCTCAAACGAGTTTGACGATTTGGTTACGGAATTTAAAGAACGATATTCCGATACATGCAGTGGTTTTGTAACTTATTTTTGTAGCAATTATTTGAAACCTGGTAAGCCTGAACAGTGGGCAATGTGCTACCGGAATTTCCCACACAGGGGTACGGATACCACGATGTTCGCAGAGTCGTTCCACAATAGACTCAAGTCATACTACTTTAAAAAGCAGTTGAATAGACGAGTTGATGACCTCATATCAACATTACTCGTGATAGAAGTAGAAGACTATTTGCGAAGATTTGGTGACCTAAAGTTACTAAAACCTCAACGCAAGACTGACACCACGAGGACACGGCATCAGAGAGGAATCAACATTTCAGACAGTTGCGTTGAGAAGTTGGATAATGATGTATGGCTCATTCAGTCGCAAGATAAAGATAATTCTGAAAAATGGTATTCTGTACAACGGATAGATGAAGAATGCAGAGAAGACTTCTGCTTCAACAAATGTAGCGAGTTTGCATGTGCTGGTCTTTGCTCACATCTTTATGAATGCGAATGCCCTGACCCGTCTACATTGTGCAAGCACATTCATAAGGTCCAAATATTTGAGTTAAGAGGCTTAAATGTTAAGATCAACAACAAAATTAATCAAGGTGAGGAGGCAAATAACATCAGTTTTGTTGCAACTTCTGATGCTGAGCAGCAAACACAAAACGAGCAACAATTAATGCAAAAATCTGTTGCAAAGTGTGAGGCGGATTTAGCAGAGCTCATGGGATATTTAAGACATGAAGAAGTTCAAAAAATGCTCCTCCCCAGTATCAAAGGTACCATAAAATCTCTGTTGGCCCAATGTAAACTGGTATCTAAGGGTGCTGTTAGCCATGTTGATCCAGATGAGATGAAAGGAGACCCCATTGCCCCTAACACAAAGCCAGATTTGCAGAAAATGAATAAAGCCTCGAAAAAACGAAAAGCATCGCCATCCATTTTTCAAAGGCGGATTGAACCCAATGAATTTGAAAAGGAGAGAACACTACAGTTAATAAACGAGTCGGACGAAGACGATGACTTCGAGACACCATTTAAACGACCAGTAGTCGAAAAGCCAGTTAATTTCACGCCATCATTTGACGTTGCTGATGGAAAATTACGAGCGCCGCTATTAGCAATCGGTCCGCATAATATTTCAATGCTTTACATGAAATCCATTGAACAGTCTCTGCCTTCTGCTGAAATCGATGCTCTACGCAAGGAGACTGATGACGGGTTTAGAATAGGATGGCTTTATGATGAAGTCATTAATGGTTTTATCTGGATGCTACAAGAGAGCAATCCTAACATCTTGTATGCCTCAACTACTACCATGCAAGCACTAAAGTTTGGAGCATCTATGGGAAGGTTATGGCAGGACGTGTCTCTTGAAGATAAGGACTTCATTCTATTTCCCACTAACTATAATGGTAATCACTGGGTTATGTTTGCTTTTGACGTTTCACAAGGGAATTTGTTATTTTTGGACCCAATGGTGTCAACCTGCATTCCTTCAGGTGCTCTGAAAATAGCAGATCATATTATCAATCTTTTAAATGTCAAATTTAATATTCAGAATGTGTGTACTGTATCTCCAGACCGCATATACCAAAAAGATTCATCAAGCTGTGGAGTCTTTGTATGCTTTTATGGCAGTCAACTTGCACATAAAGCTCCTTTAACGGATCAATTTAACGTGTCTCATTACAGAAAGCACATTTATAACATTCTTTTGGATAGATGCAATTTGGTAACATCAACGATCAGAAACACTTGTGGCAAATGCAAAAGTACGGACCCTATTCCTGGTGGATGGGTAGCATGCAACAGATGTCAAAGATGGTATCACTGTAAATGTGTTCAGCTAAAATATACAGATGCGAAGGACAGCAACTTTTTATGCCCATGAGCTCATGCTAAGAAGAACAGTAGCTAAATTTATTGAGAATTATGGCGGTTGTTTTCTTGATTTATATGTCGTCTATCCACTAGACCCGAGTTGTTATCCTTTCTCGGATTTGCATTGTTACACTCACTCAGTACTCACACTCAGTATTGCTTCAGATAAGGTTGGGGGTAGTACTCACACTCAGTATTGCTTCAGATAAGGTTGTGGACCTCACTCGTAACGTCTCTACTCTGTGTGTTTTATTCTCCGGCCAAGTTTTGTAGGTTTTCATATTATATAAATAGTTTAGCAAAATCTTTAATCTCGCCTGTGCCCGTTCATCATCATCTATGTTTCATCGCACACTATTTCATTGATACTGAACACTGAACACTCTAAATATATATATATCACTCCTTGGTTTATTTAGTATACACACTCCATACAGTCTGAGTCACTTTACTCTCCTTGCATTGCATTAACCCTCCCTACAACCTGCTCCGTTAACACTATTTTCCAATCTGCCTTCCCTATCTTGCATTCCCCGTACCACTCTCTCCGTCTCAAACCCCGAACCCACACACAATGTAGCAATTATCATAAACATCTATAAAAAGTCACTCCCCCTTACATGTCATCGCTCCCGCGCCGGCGCCGCAGCGCCTAACTCATTCTCCGAAATTATACATATCTATCTACACATTATGCTATAGCAGCTATACGTTCACATGATATTTCCCAACAAATAGTAAGCGCAGCATGAGACTCGGCTGCTGAATCCTTGAATGGTGATGATAAATCCCCCATTCGTCATTCACTAGACAGGGAAAGTTATTCCCCATTTCTTCAACCATTCGACCATTTCAACCATCTGAAATTTCATTCCTTCGGCCAAGTTTTTGTAGGTTTTCATATTATATAACTACCAAGGTAGGTAGGAAAATTGTTTGTATTTTGTACAATACATTTTGTAGGTTGGCATATATTTAGAGGCAAGGGGTTCTGTCTGTTCCTATATATTATATTATGTTGTTAGCCACACGCTTGACTCGTCAAGCTGAGCTTATGCCATGGGTCGTCGTCCGTCGTACGTCTCCGTCCGTCCGTCGTGCCGTCCGTCCGGTCAACATTTGGTTCGGGTCGTCGTGTTGTATTTGACAAATTCATTGAATATCTTAATGCAAAAATTGGTATTTCCTTTCCACCCTGCCGATAAAACGT